TTTTTTCCCATTTTCCCCCATTTTTACCCTTTTTTCCCCATTTTTTTCCCATTTTCCCCATTTTTCCGGTTTCCCCCCTTTTTTCCCATTTTCCCCCATTTTTACCCTTTTTTCCCCATTTTTTCCCATTTTCCCCCATTTTTACCCTTTTTTCCCCATTTTTTCCCATTTTCCCCCATTTTTACCCTTTTTCCCCTTTTTTTCCCATTCTCCCCACATTTTTTCTCCTTTTTTCTCTCATTTTCTTCCCCCTTCCCCCATTTTCCCCCTTTTTTCCCATTTTCCCCCATTTTCCCCCCTTTTTTCCCGTTTTTCCCCCTTTATCCCCCCTTTTTTCCCATTTTCTCCCCCTTTTCCCCCTTTATCCCCCATTTCCCCCCTTTTTTTCTCATTTTTTCCTCTTTTTTCCCATTTTCCCCTTTTTTTCCCATTGTTCCCCATTTTTCCCCCATTTCCCCCCCTTTTTTTCCATTTTTCCCCCCTTTTTCCCCCTTTTCCCCTCTTTTTCCCCATTTCTCCCCCTTTATCCCCCCTTTTTTCCCATTTTTCCCCCATTTTTCCCCTTTTTTTTCTTTTTTTCCCCCTTTTTTTTCCAATTTTTCCCTTTTTTTCCCCAAATTTTTCCTGTTTTCCCCCATTTTTCCCATTTTTCCCCATTTTTCCCCCGTTTTCACCTGCCCTGCTGCTCGGGGTATTTCTGTTTGCAGTAGGATTCCAGCGAGGCGTAAACCTTCTCCCTCAGCAGCTCCACCTCCGAGGGGTTCGAGAGCCCCTTGGCGTCTGAAAGACCCAAAACCCACAAAATTCACCCCAAAAATGAACCAGCAATTCAAAACATATCCAAAAATCCCAAAAAAACCTGGGAAAAACCCAAAAATCCCAGGAAAAACCTCAAAATTCAGCCCCAAATTCCTCCAAAATTCAATTTCTGAGGGGTTCTGGAGCCCCTTGGCGTCTGAAAGACCCAAAAACCACAAAATTCACCCCAAAAATTACCCTGGGTATACAAAAAATATCCAGGAGCCCCAAAGAAACCCCAAAAATCCCAGGAAAAACCTCCAAATTCAGCCCCAAAATGCCTCCAAAATTCAATTTCCGAGGGGTTCTGGAGCCCCTTGGCGTCTGAAAGACCCAAAAACCACAAAATTCACCCCAAAAATGAATCAGGAATGCACAAAATATCCAAAAACCCCCCAAAAAACTGGGAAAAACCCAAAAATTCCTCCCAAAACCTCAAAATTCAGCCCCAAATTCCTCCAAAATTCAATTTCTGAGGGGTTCGAGAGCCCCTTGGCGTCTGAAAGACCCAAAAACCACAAAATTCACCCCAAAAATGAGCCAGCAATTCAAAAAATATCCAGTATCCCAAAAAAACCCCCAAAAATCCCAGGAAAAACCTCCAAATTCCCCCCAAAATGCCTCCCAAATTCCCCCTCCGAGGGGTTCTGGAGCCCCCTGGCGTCTGAAAAACCCAAAAACCACAAAATTCACCCCAAAAATGAGCCCAGAAATAAAAAAAATTCAAAAAAAAACCCAAAAAACCCCCAGGATAAACCCAAAAATTCCTCCCAAACCCTCAAAATTCAGCCCAAAATTCCATTTCCGAGGGGTTCTGAAGCCTCCTGGTGTCTGAAAAACCAAAATTCACCCCAAAAATGAACCAGGATATTCCAAAAATTATCCTGGATCCAAAAAACCCCGGGAAAAACCCCAAAAATCCCTCCCAAAACAGGAAAAATTCCCCCCAAAATTCCATTTCCGAGGGGTTCTGGAGCCCCCTGGTGTCTGAAAAACCCAAAAAACCCCAAAATTCACCCCAAAATGAACCAGGATATTCCAAAAATTATCCTGGATCCAAAAAACCCCGGGAAAAACCCCAAAAATCCCTCCCAAAACAGGAAAAATTCCCCCCAAAATTCCATTTCCGAGGGGTTCTGGAGCCCCCTGGTGTCTGAAAAACCCAAAAAACCCCAAAATTCACCCCAAAAAATGATCTCAGAAATCCCAAAATATCCAAAAATTCAAAAAATTCCCCAAGAAAACCCCCAAAATTTGCAAATTCAGCCCAAAATTCCCCCCAAAATTCCATTCCCGAGGGCTTCTGGAGCCCCCTGGTGGCTGAAAACCCAAAAAAGCCAAAATTCACCCCAAAAATGATCCCAGAAATCCCAAAATATCCAAAAATCAAAAAAACCCCCCAAATTCTGCCCCCAAAATGCCCAAATTTCCCTTAAAAAAACCATTAAATTCCATTTCCGAGGGGTTCTGGAGCCCTTTGGCGTCTGGAAACCCAAAAAACCCAAAATTCACCCCAAAAATGAACCAGGAATTCAAAAAATATCCAAAAATTAAAAAAAAAAATCCAATGAAAAACCCAAAAATTCCTCCCAAAACCTCAAAATTCAGCCCAAAATTCCTCCAAAATTCAATTTCTGAGGGGTTTGAGAGACCCTTGGCGTCTGAAAGACCCAAAAACCACAAAATTCACCCCAAAAATGAGCCAGCAATTCAAAAAATATCCAGTATCCCAAAAAAACCCCCAAAAATCCCAGGAAAAACCTCCAAATTCCCCCCAAAATGCCTCCCAAATTCCCCCTCCGAGGGGTTCTGGAGCCCCCTGGTGTCTGAAAAACCCAAAAAACCCCAAAATTCACCCCAAAAAATGATCTCAGAAATCCCAAAATATCCAAAAATTCAAAAAATTCCCCAAGAAAACCCCCAAAATTTGCAAATTCAGCCCAAAATTCCCCCCAAAATTCCATTCCCGAGGGCTTCTGGAGCCCCCTGGTGGCTGAAAACCCAAAAAAGCCAAAATTCACCCCAAAAATGATCCCAGAAATCCCAAAATATCCAAAAATCAAAAAAAAACCCCCAAATTCTGCCCCCAAAATGCCCAAATTTAAAAAATTTAAAAAAAACATTAAATTCCATTTCCGAGGGGTTCTGGAGCCCTTTGGCGTCTGGAAACCCAAAAAACCCAAAATTCACCCCAAAAATGAACCAGGAATTCAAAAAATATCCAAAAATTAAAAAAAAAAATCCAATGAAAAACCCAAAAATTCCTCCCAAAACCTCAAAATTCAGCCCAAAATTCCTCCAAAATTCAATTTCTGAGGGGTTTGAGAGACCCTTGGCGTCTGCAAAACCCCAAAACCACAAAATTCACCCCAAAAATCAACCAGGAATTCACAAAATATCCAAAAATTCAAAAAATCCCAGGAAAAACCCAAAAATCTGCAAATTCCCCCCAAAAATTCCATTTCCAACGGGTTCTGGAGCCCCCTGGTGGCTGAAAACCCAAAAAACCCAAAATTCACCCCAAAAAATTGCCCAAAACTCCCATTTTCCCCCCCAAAATCCCCATTTTTCCCGTTTTCCCCCCAAATTCTCAATTTCTCCTCCCAAAATCCCCATTTTTCCTCCCCCAACCCCTCCCAAAATCCCCATTTTTTCACTTTTTTCCCCATTTTTCCCTTTTTCCCCCATTTCCCTCCATTTCCCCCACTCTTTTCAGATTGTTCCCATTTTTCCCCCATGTTTTCCCCAATTTTCCCCATTTTCCCCCCATTTTTCCCCATTTTTTCCCCAATTACCCCCAATTTTCCCCCATTTTTCTCTTTTTTTCCCATTTGCCCCCATTTTTTCCCCATTTCCCCCCTTT